CCCTCTCTCTCTCTCTCTCTCTCTCTCTCTCTCTCTCTCTCTCTCTGTATGCGAGTGTGTGTAAATGCCCCCTTTGTCTCACCGTGCTTGCCTCAATATGTTTTCTCTTCTTTCTCATTCCCATTTCTCTAAAATTCAAGTCCACGTCCTCGTGGCTGTTTTTTGTAATATTGTTATTGTTAATAAATGGTTTGGATATCCTTGAACGTTTCTTGGACTAGAGTGGGATGGGAGGGGTTGCTGATGATGAGAGGGTGCCACTGGTTGATTTGACTTTTTCCAATTCCTCTGTTTTTGTATCGGTCTTATTATAAATACTTTTTTTTTCAAGAACTGAATACTCAATGACCGTTATTGTGTCGATGTTTTTCTCCTTACTCAGCATGTTTTGTGGCGTCTCACTCAGACAAAAAGGCAGCTTATCCTTGCCAGCTGGTACTTCACTAAACAGATTGTTACCCGTAACCAATAATTGTGCTACTACTGTTATTTAGCGCTGGACATTTGTGAGCGATTCCGTCAAAAACAAAAGCACGCACCAGGTTATTCAGTTGTTTTGGGCTTAAAGGCATGGCGTACAGCAGAAAAAAGACAGTACGGAAAAAAACAGTAAAGAATTAGGACCTACTAGTGGCGCCCCCCAGATACAATCGATGGTAACTACTAGAGGAACGACAGCTGAAGGAGTCCAGAAGTCCCGTCATTGTAATTTTGGCCCCAATGAAGATCCAGAAAAAGCTGATATGGTAAGGCCACGCTATTGGATCAAGTGGCTTCACAGAGCTCGTCCTGCAGGGAAGAAAGAGTTGAAGGTACAAGAAAGAGAGGTAAACAGAAGAAACGATGGACAGACAACAACATTACTGAATGGGAGGCCTTTACAGAGAACAAGGTCCTTATTCATGACCAGGGGAAGTGGAACGGTTTTGTAGACAGATCATTGAGGTGGCTCCCCTAAGACTCTCCCAAGGGTTAAGGACGTGGGAAGGAAGAGAAGAAAGGGG